AACCCATGTGAGGCACTAGGTTTGTATAAGGTCCTTGCTTAGCATCTGGATGGCCATCTTAAGTGACAGCCACCATTTTAAGGAAAAAGTTTTGCTTTCCACCCAAGGGTGTTTCTGAGAAAGGCTCACCACTCCCTCATACCAACCCAACCCTTAACCCAATGGACCCAATGGCTTTGATTCCTGAGCCTCTCCCATAAAAGTCCCAGAACTCAAGCCTGTTTTGCCTCTCTCCTACAGAGAGATAGCCTTTATTTGTCAGCTCGGACAAATAAACTCTCATGTATGTCTCTACCTGGTCTCTGCTTTCATTTCTCACTTACCTGTCTCTTGTTCCTCGTTTTCCCTTTAGTTTGATCCTCAGCACCACATACAAATAAATAAATAGTTTTATTTCGTTATTTTGTTTTTAGAGTCTTACTAAATTACCCAGTTTGGCCTCAAACTTGCAATGCTCCTGCCTCAGCCTCCAAAGTAGTTGGGATTATAGTTGTGTGCTAGTTACCCTTCTCACCTGATCTGTCAACACACCCCCCTTCACCTCATCTCACCCCACACTTGCATTCACCTGCTCTGGCCTTTGTTAAAGCTCTTCTCTCTGCTCTGCTTCAGGTTGTGATCCTTGTCTTATGGAGCCTCTTTCCTGAAAGACCATTTCCAGATCCTCCCTATTTGATTGCATTTCTCATGTCCCTATATCAACCTTAGTTCTGTATCTCCTGCCTGCTAGAAAGGATTGTGGATTGTTCATTCTCTGTATGACCACTCTCAAGAGGCCCTGATATAAAGGAGCTTAGCTCATGTCTTCTGAATTATATTAAACTCATAGAACCCACCACAATATACATATAACTTAGTCATACTTTCTTTTCCTTTTCTATTTTATTTTATTTGCAGTACTGGGGAATGGACCCTGGGGCACTCTACCACTGAGCTTCAATCTCCAGCCTTTTTATTTTGAGATTGGGTCTCCCTAAATTCCCCGGGCTGGCTTTGAATTTGCAAGAGCCTCCTGCCTCAGTCTTCTGAGTCCCTGGGTTTAGAGGTTTGTGCCATCACGCCTAGTCAGAGGTGACTTCTTTTAGCCCTGGACCTGCATAATATTTTGAGCCTTGTGAGAGACTTCTAGCTGCCTCTACAAAATCCACTCACCTTCCTGGGAACAGGGCCATCCAATAAAACATTTCCTAACCTTTCTTTCAGTCATGTGAATAAGCTCTTGTCAAAGGGATGTGAGAGAAAGTGAGATAGACAAATATCATCTCACTTGCTTAAAAGGGAAATCCCTTGCACTAACCTTTTCACTTTCCTTCTTCCCATGATCTGGAAAGTGGATGCGCCCATGACCTAGCATGCAACAGAATTGTCCCATTGGCCTAGCTGAGCAGCCTGTTATGCAAGAGAGAAATAATATGTCTTACTTGATCAGCTGAATTTTAGTGGCTCATTGCTACAGCAGCTCACCTACCCTTTATCCAAATGCAGGTTTTTTGATGGTACTATGTTAAATTGTACTGCACCTTAAAATTATTCATATAAATGTATCATCTCTTCTACTAGGAAACCAACTCCTAATTGGTCCCTCTGGTTCCTATCTTGCCTCCTGCATTTATTCTTAGAAGCTGGGACGAACCTTTTAAAAGGGAGATCAGGTCATGTCATTCCTTGCTGAAAACCCTTACTCAGTAAAAGCAAAGTTCCTACAATAGCCTACAAGGTCCTACATGACCCACCCCTTCTTCTCAATCATTCTTATCTCACTGACCTTACTATCCTCTCTCTCTCTCTCTCTCTCTCTCTCTCTCTCTCTCTCTCTCTCTCTCCCTCCCTCTCCCTCTCTCTCATACTGGGGATTGAACCCAGGGGTGCTTAACCAGTGAGCCACATAGCCAGCCTTTTTTTTTTTTTTTTGAGACAGGGTCTCACTAAGATTTTTTGAGCCTTACTAAATGGCTAAGGGTGGCTTTGAAGCTGCCATCCTCCTGCGTCACTGGGATTACAGGTATGAACCACCACGCCCGGCTGATATTTTCTTTATTTCCATGATTATTGCTTTTGTGTGTGTTTGTGCTATTGGAGATTGAACCCAGGGGTTCTCTACCACTGAGCTGAATATCCAGCCCTTCTTATTTATTTTTATTTTGAGATAGGATCTCACTAAGGTACCTAGGCTGGTCTGAAACTTTAAAAAAAATGTACTTGGTACTGTGGATTGAACCCAGAGGTGCTTTACTGCTGAGCTACATCCCAAGACCTTTTTTTTAAAAAAATAAAAAAATTGAAACTGGATCTCAACAAGTTGCCTAGGGCCTTGCTAAATTGCTGGGGCTGGCTTTGAACTTGTGATCCTCCTGCCTCAGCCTCTTGAGGTGCTGGGATTATAGCCATGCACCACCATGCCTTGTGCTTTAGTCAGCATTTTTGCTGCTCTGACTAAATGGCCTGATCAGCACAACTGTAGAGGAGGAAGAGTTTATTTGAGAGCCCATGGTCTCTGAGGTCTCAATCCATAGACAGCTGGCTTTATTCTTCAGGGCTCCAGGTAAGGCAGAACAACATGGCATAAGAGTGTGGCAGAAGGAAGTGGCTTATGTGGTGATCAGGAATCAGTCTACTAGCCAGATACAAATACATACCCAAAGCAATGCTCCAATTCCCACCTCCTTCAGCCACACCCCACCACTTCAGTTACCACTCAATTAATCCCTATCATCGGATTAAATCACTGATTGGTTTAAGACTTTATAACCCAATCATTTCTCCTCTGAACTTTCTTGCATTGTTTCACACATGACCTTTGGGGGGACACCTAACATCCAAACTATAACACCTGGCTTACAAAATCACTTTAATTTTTTTTAGTTGTGGGCACAATATTTTATTTTTATGTGGTGCTGAGGATTGAATCCAGTGCCTCACACACGCTATGCAAACACTCTACCACTGAGCTACAACTGCAGCACCACAACTTCACTTTTGATTCTAAAATTGCATGAGAATTTTCTCTTACTTTTCCTAATTTATGGACAGAAGAATGTGCTTAATGAAAATGTGATATGATAATAAAGGCTGAAGCCAAGCATGGTAGTGTAGAGTTGTAATCCCAACAACTCAGGAGGCTAAGGCAGGAGGATTGCAAGTTCAAAGACAGCCTCAGCCACTTAGTGAGGCTCTAAGTAACTTAGTGAGACCCTGTCTCAAGATAAATAACAAAGGGCTGGGGATGTGGCTTGGTGGTTAAGCATTCCTGGGTTCAATCCCTGGTTCCAAAATAAATAAATAATAAAGGCTGAAACACGGCTGTGATCCCAGCTGCTCAGAAGGTTAAGGCAGAAGGATGGCAAGTTCCAAGCAAGCCTGGACAATGGAGGAAGATCCTGTTTCAAAATAATGAATTAAAAATTCTGGGGAGGGGCTGGAGTTGTAGCTCAGTGGTAGAGTGCTTGTCTAGAATGTGTGAGGCAATGGGTTTGAATCTCAACCCTACAAATAAATAAATTAATTAAAGATCTATCAATGACTAAAAAAATATTTTTTAAAAGAAGTTCTGGGGATGTAGCTCATTAGAAGAGCATCCTTGGGTTCAATTAATTCCCAGTACTGAGAGAGAGAGAGAGAGAGAGAGAGAGAGAGAGAGAGAGAGAAAAAGAAGAAAAGCTCACATTGGTACAATTAGCAAGTATCACTATAAAAATAGGGTTGAATATCACATTGGCAACACAAACTGAACATGATGCCATTGAAGGTCATATGAAGTGGACATGATGGAAAACCATGTTTTCTGATTCCTTCAAGTTTTTTTTTTTTTTTATTTGTTTTGGGTTTTTTTTTGTCAGTACTGTGAAATGAACCAGTGGCATTCTACCACTAAGCTATATCCCTCTAGCTGGGATTGCAGGCATGTGCCACCATGCCAGATAAGAAGGTAATAATGTAAGACCCGTCCCTCTGTAGGGCTTTCTTCCTATTTTCATGCTGTACTGGGGATGGAACTCAGGGCCTCAAGCATGCTAGCCAAATTTTCTGCCACTAAGTTACATTCTCAGCCTCCTTTGGGCTTCTTTATCTGCAGTCTCATATAATATTAATTTTTTTTATTTTTTGGTACTGGGGATTGAACTCAGGGGCACTCGACCCCTGAACCATATCCCCAGCCCTTTTATGTAATTTGTTTAGAGACAGGGTCTCACTGAATTGCTTAGCGCTTGGCTTTGATCCTCTTGTCTCAGCCTCCCACGCCGTTGGGATTCCAGGCGTGTGCCACCACGCCCAGCCACTAATTTTCCTTTCCATTCTAAGGGTTAGATAAAATCAGACTTTTACTTTGGTATATTTTGGGAAATCCACGCTCCTTCAGTTCTTTAAACGTAGTTGGTTCCAAGTTAGAAATGAAATGCCTCTTCCTCTTGGATTGTCTGTATGACTCAGGTGCCATGCTTTTGGTCATTTTCCCCATGGGACTTATCTTCCATGCAAAGATGACACTTCACAATTACAAAGGATAAACAAGCCCTTCGGACCGCTTGTGTTTGGGGTGTCTCTGTGATATAAAAGTGCTTTAATCCAGTCCCACCCTCATAAAGAGATAAAAATCGAGTTCAGAAACCTACACATGCATGTGGCTGCCATCCTAATTAAAATATTTTCTTAAAGGAAACTATAAACTAGAGCCAGACTTAAATGTCTTTTGCTGAAGAAGAAAGCATGCGTAATCTGTTTGCGGGAAAGATCTGGTTCTACGCGTCACCGGTATACCTCCACCCTTATCCTTTCACCCCAGTCAGATGTCTCCACGCTCTCTAGCCAGCTCTCCCCCCACCGCAAAGCTACCAAGGGGTGGGGCTATTAGCCTCACCCCGGTTTTTGCCCTCCAGCCAATACTCGAGAGAATAGAAGAGAGGTGAAGCCGCAGTGAGGTCTCCGCCCCTCGATCCCGCTAAGCCAATAGGAAACGAGTGGGTGTGGACTTCCCCCGCTGATCCCGCCTCCCCAGCTCTGGGTAATTTAGAGCCGCGCGCCGGGCGGGAATGTAAGATGGCGGAGTAGCAGCGCAAAGCGGTCAGTATTAAGTATTTGGGCAGACTTCGGTTCTGGTCTCCGCAGCAGCAGTGATCGTTGAGCGACGAGCGCCTAGGATAATTGTTCAAGATGCCGAATATCAAAATCTTCAGCGGCAGCTCTCATCAGGACTTATCCCAGAAAATTGCTGACCGCCTGGGCCTGGAGCTAGGCAAGGTGGTGACTAAGAAATTCAGCAACCAGGAGACCTGGTAAGGGCGAAGTTGGAACCCCAACAGACCTCACCTGTTTAGCAGGCAGGAGCTGTGGGGGATGGGGCCTCCGCGTGAGTTCCGGGGAACTGGGGGAAGGGGGGAAAGGGGCTGCTTTGGCGAGGGTGCTGTTTCCGTTATTTTACCTCTTGCGCGGGAGGGTCACGTTCATTCTCACCGTGTGGTGGGGTGGAGTCTAGATGGATCGTGAGGCGAAGCTGCTGGGTTTGAAGGCAGGGATGGAAGACCCAGTGCAGTGATAGTGGCTGCCTAGAGCGAAGGGAGGGGATGGACGCTTAGCCTCGGCTGTGGGGACACGTGGCTTTGTCGCTTCACTGTTGAGCCACCCGGGCTGGACTGGATTCGCTTCAGCTCTTGGACTGGTGTACGTTGGATAATGTATCGCTTTCGGAGCCCCCCTGGTCTGTCTTTTAGAGTCTAAGAAGCAGCATTTTAATTTGAAATGGTGTCAGTCTGGTTTGGTGTTGAGGAAATTGGCATTATGTACCGAGGGCGCGAAAATTATTACTACCGACTTCCCTTAGATTGACAAGCGTTGACTTTCACATCTTTAAAATCATTAATCTCCCAACTAATTGGAACCATCCTTAAGTTAAATCTAGTTGATCGAATAAAGTGATGACATTAATTCTGCACCCTTGATCGTTGGCATCTCGGCTTGAGTCATCCCGAAAGTCTTAGGGAACCTTAGTTCTGAATTGGATCTTTGACCTTTTACCCAATGCAGCTACTGGTACATTAGCATATTTTTCAGTAATTGTCTATTCTGGAATTACCCACTTCTTATCGCTATGTGAGATAATTTAGGGTAAAATTTATACTTGAGTGTTAAATAAAGACAGGTAATGCAGTGGAACCTCTGGATCTAACAGTGCATTAACATTTGACTTTCTTTCATTGTCTTATTCCTTTCCCCCACTTCCAACTTTCACATGTACCATTGTACTATTTTGGGGATAACATAATTACCTGCTTCTTTCAGTGCCGCTGCCAGCTAAATGTAGAATATTCTGGCTTTGATAGGTTATCCCATCAGATGTTATCCCATTTGTTATCCCATCAGTCAAATCATAGCACTGCCCACAGGATTATTGATACATGTGTTAAGGGTGAAGTTTTCATCTAATGATCAGTTAAATAAGATTACATTGAACACTTTTCCTTTTTTTTTTTTTTTTTGTACTGGGGATTGAACACAGGGGAGCTTTTTATCAATGAGCTACATCCCCAGTTCTTTTTTTTTTTTTTTAAAGTCGGGATCTCACCAAGTTGCTGAGGTTGGCCTCCAACTTGTGATCCTCTGGCCTCAGCCTTACAAATTGCTGAGAGTTACTGGAATTACAGGTGTTCACCATCATGCCTGGATTTTGGCTTTCTTCTTGAAAGTGAATTCCAACTGTAATTCTCCCTATCTTTTTTAGACCCAGTTGATATAAAACTATTCATCTGTAATGGATAGCTTCTTCCTGGATTAGTGTGCTGCTGATTGTAATGCAAATGATAGCGCAAACACTTCCATCTGTAACCAGGCAATACCTTAGTCAAAAGAGGTTTGCAAGCTGCTATCTGTGGCTTTCAACACACCATTATGGCTCAGGGGCCTTACTAAAGAAGACAAAACCGGACCAGACTCAGAGTAGCAGCATAGCTAGGGGACAAGAATGTTATTCATTTGGAGGTTTTCTTTGGGCCCTCTGGTTATTAAATCCATTTCCTGTGCTTTCTGGAAAAATATGAAGGCTATTTTCTCCTTGTGTTAATCTCTTCTGCCCTCTGCATAATGTACCACGGCAGAACAGGAGGCTGTATTGGTGTGGTGGTGGGGGAACAATTTAGCTTCCTCCTGACTGATTTAGATTAAGCCTAATGTAGATAATTGCTGATTGGTTACTTTCCTTCTTTCTGGCTTAATCATTACCGCGTGGTTCTGTAGATATTCTGAAATTGGCCCTGAACATAAAGATGTTTACTTTGGAGATCCCTTCCACAATCTTTCTTTTTTCTAAGCTGCAGAAATTGTATCTTCTGCTCAATGAATCTTGGAATCTATAGGTATTGGATAGGCCAGTTCACTGCTGTGGGTCATCAGATGCAGAGCCTGTGCTCAAATAAAATAATTTTTGCTATTTGCTAGAATTTGGCAAAATCTCTGCTCCACCTTTTTGGTACCTAGGATAGAACCCAGGGGTGCTCAACCACTGAGCCACATCCCCAAGTTCTTTTTTAATTTTTATTTTGAGACAGGGTCTCACTAAGTTGCTGAGGCTGGCTTTGAACTTGCAATCCTCCTGCCTCAGCCTCCCAAGCCATTAGAAGTACAGACGCATGCCACCAGGCTCAGCTAGAATCTTTGCCTTTGTGAGCAGAGTATTTTTCTTCCCAAATCAGGATAATCCTTAGTTATTTAGGAAACATACATTTACATAGGAAACATACGTATATTTATAGTTTATGAGTGCATGTGTATATACCCACACATAAACATAAAAGTTAAAAGTTAAGGTGCTAGAATTAGAGAACCTGAATTGAATCTTTCTTTGTCTTGGTAATCTCTTCTATAAAACATTGTCCACCTATAGTTACTGTGACTATTAAATGAGATAGGATTAAAGTTCTTAGGACATTGTTCAACACATAATAAAACAATAAATGCAACAATAAATGTTGGCAAGGAGGAGTGGCAATGGTGTTGTGCAAAATCTAGGATATATAGCAGGCAAAAAAGAATATATCCTTCACAATTCCACTACCTGAGATATGCTGTTCATATCTTGATTTATGAACGCCAACTACTGAGCCATATCCTGGCCCTTTTTATTTTTATTTCAAGACAATGTCTCATTGCTGAGGGTCTTGTGGCTGGCCTTGAAGTTGTGATCCTCCTGCCTCAGCCTCAAGTTGCTGGGATTATAGGCATGTGCCACGATACCCAGCTATATTTTCAAAAATTGAAGTCATTGTTTAAAGCTTTCTTTATTTAGTGACATTATGAATGGATTATTCCTTTAAATTTTCATATTATTAGCTTAGAATAAATCCCAAGAGGAGAATTACTAATTTAAAGGGTATGTACCAATTTTCAGGCTTCGGATACCTATTGTCAAATTGTCCCCCAGAAAAGTTGAGCTGAACTTTTCTATTTGCAGTCTCATCAGCAATAATAGCAACATTAATATTGAATGTATAGCTAAATGCTTAAGAAGTGCTAGTTTCTGTTGGGTTTATTGGCTCATGCCTGTAATCCCAGTGATTTGGGAGATTGAGGCAAGAGGATCACAAATTCAAGGACAGCCTTGGCAATTTAGTAAAAATCTCAGCAATTTAGCCAAACCCTGACTTAAATGAAGAGTACTGGACGTGTAATCCAGTAGTGGTAAAAGCACTCCTGGGTTCAACCCCCAGTACCACAAATAAGTGTTAATTTCTATAATAAAGCACCTGAATGCTATGAGGAACTATTTTCTTTCTTTGTTACTGGGTATTAAACCCAAGGGTGCTTAACCACTGAGCCACATCCCCAGCCCTTTTTATTTTTAATTTTGAGATATGGTCTCACTGAGTTACTGAGGCTGGCTTTGAACCTGCCATCCTCTTCCTCAGCCTCTCCAGCTACTGGGATTTTAGGCGTGTGTCACCATGACCAGCAAGGGGAAGGTTTTAACTATGTTTGCCTAAGACTTGTATTCCCATGTATTTTGTACATGTCAACACCTCCATATTCCAAATTCTTGAGATTTTCTTAATAGCATCTACTTCTAAGATTCACTGTATTTCCTTTTTGTGCTGTTTCACATTCAATGCCAGTTGGAAGCACTTATACCAGATACTAAATGAAAGGAGGGAAAAAGGTAGTTTTCTCACTTGTTAGCTAGACATAGTCTTCTGGCCTCCTTGAAAACCACTGGGAGAATGATTGGCCCAAGGCCTTTTGAAGTTTTTGCCTGTTAACTAGAGGGAAAGTATAAGGAGTTTTACCCTCTTGCTTACTGAACTAGATCTTACCACTTAGTAGATTTTATTAGAACCAAATAGGTTTTAGGCATAACTGCTATTTATTTACTGTCACAATTTACTTGATGAGATTTAGAAGAAACCATCAGAACAGTTATTGAGCCAGTGTGGTGGCCCACACCTATAATCCCAGCAATTTGGGAGATAGAGGCAGGAGAATCACAAGTTCAAGGCAAGTCTTAGTAATTTAATAAGACCCAGTCTCAAAATAAAAATAAAAAAGGGCTGGGGGTGTAGTTCAGTGGTAGAGTACTCCTGGGTTCAATGCCCAGTAGTACATACAAAGAAAGAAAAATGTTGATTTGGAGGGTTACTTAGGATTGAAACCAGGGGTGCTGTACCACTACACTTCACCCTCAGCTCCTTTTTTTTTTTTTTTTTTTTTTTTTTTTTTTGTATTTTGAAACTGTGTCCCATAAAGTTGCTGAGGATCTCACTGAATTTCCAAGGCTGGCCCCCAACTTGCCATCCTCTTGCCTCAGCCTCAAGTCACTAGGATTACAGGTGTGCACCACCATGCAAAGCTTAGTGTTCAGATTTTTAGTTTTTATTTCTGGTATGAGGGACTGAGCCTAGGGACACCTTACCATTGAGCTACATATCCAGGCCTTACTGTCAGTACCTTAATTTTTACATAATGAAATACTTTTTCAAGTTGCTAAGTTTGTACCTTGCTCTAACAAACATCTTTTGCTGTGGGTAGGTTTTTAGTTTTAAGTTTGGCTTTGGGAAATGGCTGAACTGTGGGTTGCTTGTTAAGTGATATAATTATAAAAAATGGTTCTTGTGATTGTTGGATGGTGAGCTGATAAGTGAATTTTAAATTTTTCAAGCCTTTAATGTGATGTTAGAATATGTAATTATTAAATAACCATACTAAGATTATTTATCAAAGTTATATGTTTAACAGATGCTCTGGTGTTTAAATTGGCAGTGATAATTTTATAACTAAATACCCCACCTGCTTT